AGCCAGTGAGGGCAGGGGCCTTATGGCAAAAAAAAAAAAAAAAAAAAAAAAAGGAAAGAAAGAAAAGCATGCTGGAGAAAGGGGCTGGGGCTGGCAGAGGAGGACCTCATACAGCAAACAAACAAGAGACTCTTCTCATTTTCTGAGGTCATAACCCTCTTTGAGAATCTGGTAAAATGATTGACCTTGCACCCAAAAATGCATATATTCACAATTTTGCACACAGCAAGCTTCCCACCTCGAACTCTATCAGTGACCCCTGGGTGTTACTGCACATTCATGTTACTAACTCCCCATGAATCTTCCAGAAGAAACCCAGGTAATGTGACCCTGTCCCTTCCCCAGACAGGTCAGAGCCTGCACTTTGCGGTTTAGATGACTGGTCCCTGAAAGCTTGATGGTATACTTTCTTACAGTAAAGCTGCCCTGTGCTTTCTCTGCCTCTGGTCCAAGCCTGTGAAAGCTCTTGGTGATCTCTCCCCAGAGACCTAGAAGTTTCTTACAAACCTGGCAATTACCCTGCGAGCACCTTTCTCATTTGTACAGGTGCTTTATAAACCCAGGCCCAACTCCAGCTCCAGAAATTCTTGTTCCTATTCTTTCCCCACCCTTTGCTTAGCCTGTCACTAAACTGTTTCTCTCTATCAGTGACAAAGTTATAGCCCCAGCCCCATGGTAACTCAATTATTTAAAATTGCCTTTGGTGGATAACCTTGAAAAGGCCTTTGAAAGCCAAGCATATTAGAGTTGCTGGTTCCCCTTCATCCAGCTGCCTTTCCTCCTCAAGGAGCTCCATTAAACAGCCCTGGCATACAATCCCTTTGTAGAAACCCACCATACAACCCCCAGTGGAGGTGTTTTGTTTATGTGTTCGGTGACCCTGTTCAGCTGGGAGCCGTGGACATGGCTTTAAATATTTAACCGCTTTCGATAGGTTGGTAATGATAATAACTTTGCTGATGGCAGCTCCAATTGAGCTCCAGTTCAAATAAGATTTGTTGAACCTAAAATACTTCTAATTAACTCCCTGGCTAGCTTCCCTCACAGCAGGTGGCCACAAGAGGCAGCTGTGTGTCCTGGGAAGAGCACTGGACTTCGAGTCCATCTACAAAGAGAGGAAAATAGTATTTCTGTTCGTTGTGTTGTTGTGAAAAGCAAGTAAGATCTAGTTTGCAAAAGTATTGGGTGGTTGGAAAAGTCATGACATATTTTTTTTCTATATTTTTCTATGCCAAAATGTATCATGACTTTTCCAATCACTCAATACTTCATTTTGTGAGGGTCAGATGGTGATGCAACAGTAAAGCACGATGCTTTGTCGGACTGAGCCACATAGGAACATTCAGGTTCTGTATTCTTGTCCAGAGACCTCCCTGAATTTGGCAGTCAGGCGTGTGGCCATGACCCAGGGCTGGCTGAGGCTGGGAGTGGGTCATAGCATCAAGACCCTGTTGGAGTGCTGTCTCTCAGTCTCTCACTCATGGGAGAAATAAATGCACTTTTTGAAAAAGTGCTTGCTTCTGTAATCTATTATTAAGTGGGTGCAAATGTAAGGATCATTACCACTGATAATTAAAGCTATTGCTGGCTCACCCTCAAGGCTCTACCCTATGGTTTGCCAAATCTCTGACCCACAAGCTCTTTAGGACAAAGGAAACAAGAGTTGGGCAAAAGACCTAGGACTGTCCCAGGGCTCCAGAAGCCACCTCCACTTCAGCAAGGAGGCGGTACTCTCCTGCAGGGAGACAGTCCTTTGGAGAGGCATTCTCCTCTACGAGAGCATCTCAAGTGCTGTCTCCCAAACCTTCGGGCTCTTCCCAGCTAGGCTGTCTCTGTCTCTGCTGAGAGAGCTTCCACAGATCTGGAAGTGGTCTTGACCTTAGGTACACCTAAGGAACTACAAAGGCAGGTGGTTAGTGCTGCTAACAAATTTTCCAGCCCAAAGAGTGAGCAGAAGAGAACTCTCTAACCTGCTTTTGGGACGGAAGGGACTCAAGGAGAGGGCATCAAACGTTGATCATAGTTGTCTCAGGTTATTATTTTTATATAATCACAAAAATGAAGAATTTTGACACTAGTACATAGGAGATACATGTTTTTCCCCTTAGTGGCAACCAATGTACTAAACTGAAAGCACACTGACCCAAGGTGTGGAAAGCCTGAGTTTGATCTTTTTGAGCCTCACTTTTCTCAGTTGGTAGAGGACGATCTTCACGTCAGCTCTACAGACGAAGCCTAAAAGGCATGCTTTTTTATTTTTAAGAGGTTTTTGCTACAAGACGTGTGCGCTTGCCAGAAAGACAGACAGAAAACAAGAAATCACCCCCTAGGGGAGATGGCCACGCCACAATCTCTTCTCCTCCATTCTCCTCTCAGGATCTTGGGCACGCACGCACACGCGCCTGGCGTGAGTTTTAAGCCAGCGGGTCCAGGACACAAACCGCGGTCGACTATGTGGGAGTCCAGAGACATAGCCATTACGCTAACTGCTGGTACCAAGGCATGCTTTTTAATAAATTATAAAGAAGGAGCCAGCAGGTGGCGTAATGGCTAAGGCACTAGACACTCCCACCCGGCCGACCATGGTTCAAGTCCTGGACCTGGTGACTTGCTTTCTCACGTCCCCTCTCTCTCTCTCCCTGGTCAATTAAAATAAATGAATGAATAAATAAAAAATTTTTTAAAATAAATGATAAAGTAATAAGAGTCAACCGTAGGATTTATTATTCTGTGAGCTAGACAGTGAGCCTTTTGGATCTTTCAGTAGGGTCAATGACTGATCAATTCCCCAGCCAGTACCTTATTTGTTGAATAACAAAATCCCTAAGGACTAGTTATTTGTATGTAAGTTGACTGGTTTGTTTTTCTTCCCCAAGGTAAGATATTGCAAGTAAATTGCCAGTAAATATCCTTACAGAGAAGTCCTTTATAATGTTTTCCTGTTAACTGAGAAGTTTGAGGCTTAGAAAATCTATCTTGGCATTTCTGTTACCAGATCGACGAGGTCCTGCGACAGGAAGACAAAGCCGAAGCTATGTCTGGCCACATTGATCAGTTTCTCATAGCCACCTTCATGCAGCTGAGACTCAGCTACAACACGCACATGGCCGACGAGAAGCTGGAGAAGGACGAGATCATCAAGTTGTACAGCTGCATCATCGGCAACATGATTTCGGTAAGGGCGCCTCTGCAGGACGTGCGCTGCCCTCAGTCTCTCCCTCCTGGGCCCTAAAGCCAGAGTTGGTACAAGTTTTCCAGGGAGTCCCATGTCACTTGGGAGAACGTGACACAATTCATGTAACAAGCTACTGACTGCTTCGCTGGATGCTGGGCGACCCTCGAGGATGCCTTACTGTCAGGACGTAACCTAGAATGCGTACACACCCTGCAGTGCCGCTTCCTGCCAGTGTCTTCATCAGGCCGGTCGGCTGGCTTTTCACAAATCGGTCTCCACACTAGAAATATTTTTATAATAGAAAAGAAACATAGGCTATTACTGAAGCTTTTGGTGGAAAGTGGTGCTGTTTTTTCTTAATGCTCTGAACCATTTATAATACAGCGTGAGCACATGTTTACTGCCCCCACACTGATTTCCTCTGCTCTCTACCTCGAGTTTGACGCCTCTCTAACACACCGTGACTGGGCAGCTGTTTCAGATAGAGAGCCTGGCCCGAGAGGCCTCCACGGGAGTACTGAAAGACCTGATGCATGGCCTCATCACCTTGATGCTGGACTCTCGGATTGAAGATCTAGAGGAAGGACAGCAGGTGATCCGCTCTGTGAACCTCTTGGTGGTGAAGGTTCTGGAGAAGTCAGACCAGACCAACATCCTGAGGTACAGCTGTGTTCTCAGCAGTCGAGTCTGAATCGGCCACTGTTCTGTCTGCACATAGAACCAGCAAGTCACTAGATCAGTTGTTAGGCAAAAGTGCAGGTTTGAATAAAGTGGGATTATTATTATTTTATTTCTCGTGGACCCTAAGGTATTCCAGCTAAGACGACAGGAAGCCAGCCTAGGTCATCAGTTTTCTAGAATAGTTCCACAAAGTTTGTCAGTTACACCTTCTTTCATACACATTTCTGATGGATTTCTTTAACTACCACTGACAGTGAGAAACAGAGTGACAGACTTTATAATTACCAAGTGACAGCCAATACTTATTTTCTTAATAACTGAACGTCAAGTAACCAGAGGCACTTGCTGGTTCATGAGCTCTGTATTAGATGGCCTTTGAGACGCTGAGTTTGATTGGATGGAGGGTTGAGTTTTCTAATTCTGTTGCGTTGTCGTTTTCTTTTTCCAGCGCCCTACTTGTTTTGCTCCAAGACAGCCTACTAGCAACAGCCAGTTCTCCCAAATTCTCAGAACTCGTTATGAAGGTGAAGTTAAAATGATTTGTTCTCTTTTCTTTGAAAGGTGTGATTAGTGTTTAAGTATGGGGAAGGAGGAGTTGGACCTAAACACATAGGCTTAAATCGACCAAGACTAACTGGAAAAATATAGTTGGCCTTGAATTTACCTTTCTCCAATTTTGTGGGGGTTTTTCAAAAATTATTTATTTATTTAATTCCATTTGTTATTATTTCTTAAGTTGACCAGAGAGACAGAAAAAAGGGAAAGTGAGAAAGCAAGCCACCAGGTCCGGGACTTGAACCATTATCGGCCGCATGGGAATCCAGCACCTTTAACCACCACGCCACCTGCCAGCCCTTCCTTTTACACCCCAAGCACAGACATAGATAACTCTGGGCCTCAAATGATGAAAAAGAGCTAAGGCCAGGCTGTGTCCTGATGTTAAGAAGCTGGATCCCACATAGCCTACTACATGCTTTGAATCCTGGACCCAGTGTCTTGAAAAACATGTCAAACATGTGTGCCCAAAAAGAGGGAGAGCGGGAGAAGGGACTGTGACATGACCATATTCCAAGGGGAGTGCTTTGTCCATCTCCCTCTCTCTCTGGCAAAATTGTAAAAAAAAAAAAAAAAAAAAAAATTTTTGTGAATATATCATCAGTTCTTCTGACTCAAAATGTAAGAAGTTTGACAAGCCAGCAGGTGGAGGCTTGGTTAAGGCACTGGCTCCCACATGGCCAACCATGGTTGTTAGAGTCCTTGATCCAGCAGCTTGGAAAACATATGTGCCCAAAATCCCAAGAGAAGAATGGAGAAGAAGGGATTGTAGTGTGGCCATTCCCCGGGGGGTGATTTCTCACTTTCCCTCTCTCTGTGTCTCTGTTTAACGTTTTCTTTTCTGTACTTTACCTTACTTTATCTTACTATAAGATTACAGTATATAGGGGCCAGCAGGTGGCGTGGTGGTTAAGGGCACTGGACTCCCACATGCTCAACCATGGTTTAAGTCCTGGACCTGGTGACTTACTTTCTCACTTTCTGTCCTCTCTCTCACTCTGTCCCTCTCTGGTCAAATTAAAATAAATAAATAAATATTTTAAATAAAAAATAATTCTTTGAAAAAAAAAAAAAGTAGGGATCAGCAGGTGGTGTAATGGTTATGTCACTGGACTTTAAGTCCTGGACCTGGTGGCTTAAAACTCATACCAGGCGTTGGGACCAGCAGTTAGCGTAATGGCTATGTCGCAGACTCCACGTAGTCGCAGTTCGAGTCCCGAACCTGGTGGCTTAAAACTCATACCAGGCGTTGGGACCAGCAGTTAGCGTAATGGCTATGTCGCTGGATTCCCACGTAGTCGACCGCGGTTTGTGTCCCGGACCTGGTGGCTTAAGACTCACGCCGGGCGCGTGTGCGTGCGTGCCCAAGATCCCGAGAGGAGAATGGAGGAGAAGGGATTGCTGCATGGTTGTCCCTCCTAAGGGGATGATTTCTCACTTTCTGTTTCTCTCTGTCTCTCCCATGGGTGCGTTCACCCTGTAGCAAAACCTCTCTACAAAAATAAATTTTAAAATGCAGTATATCAGGGGACTTCAAAAAGTTCTTGGAAATGTAATTAAAGCATGAGTTTATTTTGGTGCCAAAAAAAAAAATAAATCCTGAAGCCCATGCAGTTTTTTCCATTAACTTTTTGAAGACCCTCCCTCACATATTAACACACATAATGTATAAAATATGTGTATATCAACTATGTTATTGATGAGGCTTCAGATCAACAGTCAGGAGTTCTGCTTTTAGGGAGTCGAAAGTTATGCTTGGGACCATGTGGCGGTGCAGTGGTAGCAGCCAGACACACATAGGAAGGTCCCAAGTTGGCATCTAAGAGCTCCCTGAGTATGACAGGCATGCACGCTGTGTGTCTGTGATCTGAGGCCGGGCGTGGAGTGCAGCAACGCAGGCCTTTGTGGAGGGTTCCTGCCTCCCTCTTCCCCCTCCACCTCCCCCTCCTTCTCTTATGGAAGAAAGAGAGAAATCTGAAAATCCGAGTATAACATATCTTTAAACTGCAGAGGGGTCTGCACCCCTAACCCCTGCATGCTCAAGGGTCGTCTATACTCGCTGCACTGTGGCAGTGTGAGAGACGTTGTCGCCTTGGGTCGAATTTGGTTAAGTAACATGAATAGTCCTAGGTCCCAAGGAAACCCCTTACATGATGGCTCGTACCTCTGGGGGTGGGCAGAGGACTGGATATGGAAGAGTAGATTGACAGCTCGCCGTACTGCGGGGCTGAGCTGACGAGAGCGATCCACATGCTCACAGTACGGGAGCCGCACTGGAAAGGTCTGACGCAGCGTTTCCCCCACCGTCTCAGAAGTGAGCCCGACCAGCAAGTGGTGTGGTGGTTAAGGTGCCGGAATTCCCACATGGCTGATCATAGTTCGAATCCCCGACCTGGTGGCTTGCTTTCTCTCTCTCCCTCTCTCTCTCGATCTTTCTCTGGCAAAACTCATTGAAAATAATAATAATAATAATAGTAATAATAAATAAAGTTGAATAAAATAATTAAAAAAAAAAAAGAAGTGAGCCCGAGCTTGGGGAGATGCGTGGTGATGGTGTCCTCAGCCTCCGTCCTGCCCTCTGACACGTCCTTTTTTCAATAGTGTCTCTGGAGAATGGTCCGGCTATTGCCTGATACTATCAACAGCATTAATCTGGACAGAATTCTTCTGGACATCCACATTTTCATGAAGGTCTTCCCCAAAGAAAAATTGAAGCAATGCAAAAGTGAATTTCCCATTAGGACCCTAAAGACCCTGCTGCACACCTTATGCAAATTGAAAGGCCCCAAGGTGAGTGGAAATAGCAGCTGGTCCCAGGGAACTTGAGAGAACGCCATGGAAGTGGGATTGCCACCCTCTGAATGTGCACGCTCCCCCCTCAGATCCTAGACCACCTAACGATGATCGACAACAAGAACGAGTCGGAGCTGGAGGCCCACCTCTGCCGGATGATGAAGCACAGCATGGACCAGACCGGGAGCAAGTCCGATAAGGAGACAGAGAAAGGAGCGTCTCGGATAGTGAGTGGCCTGCCTGGAAAGACGCGGGGCGTGGGCTTGTACTGGGAACGGCCCTGTCTGAGCTGCAGGTCACCTGGCCACTGTCCTCTGAGCGCCCGAGGCGACAGCTCAAGGATTGGTTTCTAAGGAATAACCCACCTCTAACCCGTTCTTCCTCGTGTGTTTCCACATTTCAGGATGAAAAATCATCAAAGGCCAAAGTGAACGATTTCTTAGCTGAGATTTTTAAGAAGATTGGCTCCAAAGAGAACACGAAAGAGGTGAGTGAAAGCGCGAAGCCCGCTGGGGTCTGTGGTGGGGAGGGCGTGAGCGAGCACCCATGCCGACCTGGTGCCTTTTCTCGTTCACCAGGGCCTAGCAGAGCTATATGAATACAAGAAGAAATACTCAGATGCTGACATCGAGCCATTTCTGAAAAACTCCTCACAGTTCTTCCAGAGCTATGTCGAGAGAGGCCTTCGGGTGATTGAGATGGAGCGGGAGGGCAAAGGCCGCATTCCCACCTCAGCAGGTGTGCTTTCTTCAGCAGCCCCGAGGACAGGTTCAGAACCGCTCCTACCCTCCGGGCCTGACTTTTCCGTGGTTTAAATTGATACCCAGGAACCTCAGTGCTTAAGTCTTCACAAAAGTGAGCAAAAGTATTCACATGGCGTAATGGTTACATTGATGGACTCCCATGTAGTCGCCCCCGGGTTGAGTCTGGACATCCACATTTTCATGAAGGTCTTCCCCAAAGAAAAATTGAAGCAATGCAAAAGTGAATTTCCCATTAGGACCCTAAAGACCCTGCTGCACACCTTATGCAAATTGAAAGGCCCCAAGGTGAGTGGAAATAGCAGCTGGTCCCAGGGAACTTGAGAGAACGCCATGGAAGTGGGATTGCCACCCTCTGAATGTGCACGCTCCCCCCTCAGATCCTAGACCACCTAACGATGATCGACAACAAGAACGAGTCGGAGCTGGAGGCCCACCTCTGCCGGATGATGAAGCACAGCATGGACCAGACCGGGAGCAAGTCCGATAAGGAGACAGAGAAAGGAGCGTCTCGGATAGTGAGTGGCCTGCCTGGAAAGACGCGGGGCGTGGGCTTGTACTGGGAACGGCCCTGTCTGAGCTGCAGGTCACCTGGCCACTGTCCTCTGAGCGCCCGAGGCGACAGCTCAAGGATTGGTTTCTAAGGAATAACCCACCTCTAACCCGTTCTTCCTCGTGTGTTTCCACATTTCAGGATGAAAAATCATCAAAGGCCAAAGTGAACGATTTCTTAGCTGAGATTTTTAAGAAGATTGGCTCCAAAGAGAACACGAAAGAGGTGAGTGAAAGCGCGAAGCCCGCTGGGGTCTGTGGTGGGGAGGGCGTGAGCGAGCACCCATGCCGACCTGGTGCCTTTTCTCGTTCACCAGGGCCTAGCAGAGCTATATGAATACAAGAAGAAATACTCAGATGCTGACATCGAGCCATTTCTGAAAAACTCCTCACAGTTCTTCCAGAGCTATGTCGAGAGAGGCCTTCGGGTGATTGAGATGGAGCGGGAGGGCAAAGGCCGCATTCCCACCTCAGCAGGTGTGCTTTCTTCAGCAGCCCCGAGGACAGGTTCAGAACCGCTCCTACCCTCCGGGCCTGACTTTTCCGTGGTTTAAATTGATACCCAGGAACCTCAGTGCTTAAGTCTTCACAAAAGTGAGCAAAAGTATTCACATGGCGTAATGGTTACATTGCTGGACTCCCATGTAGTCGACCGCGGTTTGAGTCTCAGACCAGGCAGCTTAAAGTCATGCTGGGCGCATGCCCAAGATCCCGAGAGGAGAATGGAGGAGAAGGGATTGCGGCGTGACCATCCCCCTGGGGGGTGATTTCTCACTCTGTCTGTCTGTCTCTGGCAAGCGTACACACCTATAACATAAACCTCTCTTTAAAAAATATTCACACTGTATCCTTACTGGTCAGTTCCCTGTCACCTGACTTGACCCATCATTAATGTCTGACGAGGGTAATCATTCCTTGCCCGAAGCATTTCTTTGCTTGGCTTCTAGTTCTATGCGCCATCTTGGTTTCCTCCCACCGTCCTGACTCTTCCTTCTTGACCTTTGAATGAGTCTTACTCTCCCTGACCTTTTTTTTTTTTTACCAGAGGCGGTGTGTATGTGAGAGAGAAAGAGAGATGAGAAGAGAACATCTCCCAGTGGGGCCGGTCCTTTCTCCTCCAGGTCATCCCGTCAGAATCCTGGGCATGTGTGCGTGGCCAGTGTGAGGGCAGTGGGGCGGAGCCTTGAACCCCAGGGGGCATGTGGGACCTGGCCCCTCTGCACTGCACTTTGCTGCTCTGCTGCCGGGCCAGGCCCACCCTGACCTTTTAGTGCTGGTGTGCTCCGGGGTCCAGGCTGCGAGTCCCTCTTCCTCTCATCCCCTCGTGCGTTCATCTACTCTCACTGCAAATCACCAAACCGTTAACTTGCCAGTGAGACCAGGTTTGTTTTGTTTTGTTTTGCCAGAGGGTACATGTGCTTATAGGAGAGAGGCAGAGACAGTGAGAGAAGGTGAGAAATCCCCCCAGGGGATGGGGCCAGCTCTGCGTCTCCAGCTTAGCCCGCCTTCCGGTCCCCACGGGCTGCGTCCTGCACAGCCTCCCCGCCCGCGTTTCTAGTCGGCACTGTCAACTCCGCGCGTCAGACACCGCGCTCCGATTAGTGCCCATGGCAGCTCCGTCCTTCGAGTTCACTCAGAGCCGGAGGCTCCCCTCGCTCTCCACCCGCACGACGCACAGCCCCACACTGGCCCTCCGTCACCGCTGCGCCTCGGCCTGAGACGTCGGCTCCCACCTCATCTCCCTGCTTCCTTCCACTTTGGCCCCCCATGTCCATTTCTTTGTTTTTGTTTTTCAAGAATTATTTTATTTGACTTTGTTTATTTTAATTTGACCAGAGAGAGAGAAAGCCACCAGGTTCAGGACTCAAACCACAGTCGGCCATGTGGGAGTCCAGCGCCCTTAACCACCACACCACCTGCCAGCCCCCCGTGTCCATTTCTACACATGGCATCAAAATGGCTCTTCTCAGCCACTCTGCAGAGGCTCTGCCTTTCACTATCCAGAGCACAGGCCCCACACAGGGCTCCAAGGTCCTGTGTACGTGACTGCTGACACTCCTCAAACCTGTAACAAAACTTCTCCCCCCAAAAAAGGACCTAAGAGGTATCAGTTATTTTAAAAAAAAAAAAAAAAGCTGTGAAGAGCCTTAAACCAGGACTAGCAGTTGGTGTAATGGCTATGAACCTAGAACATGGTTTATAGACAGAACCTAAAACACGGTTTATAGGTAGACAGGACCTAGAACACGGTTTATAGGCAGACAGGACCTAGAACACGGTTTATAGGCAGACAGGACCTAGAACACGGTTTATAGGCAGACAGAACCTAGAACACGGTTTATAGGCAGACCGGACCTAGAACGCGGTTTATAGGCAGACCGGACCTAGAACACGGTTTATAGGCAGACAGAACCTAGAACATGGTTTATAGGCAGACAGGACCTAGAACGCGGTTTATAGGCAGACCGGACCTAGAACACGTTTTATAGGCAGACAACCTAGAACACAGTTTATAGGCAGACCGGACCTAGAACACGGTTTATAGGCAGACAGAACCTAGAACATGGTTTATAGGCAGACAGGACCTAGAACGCGGTTTATAGGCAGACCGGACCTAGAACACGGTTTATAGGCAGACAACCTAGAACACAGTTTATAGGCAGACAGGACCTAGAACACGGTTTATAGGCAGACAGAACCTAGAACACGGTTTATAGGCAGACAGAACCTAGAACACGGTTTATAGGCAGACAGAACCTAGAACACGGTTTATAGGCAGACAGAACCTAGAAGGGTGGGTGTGCTTTGCTAAAATACATGCCGGACAATTAAGACAGCGCTGCTTTTCCCTGGCAAGAGGAAATTCTACAGTTGGCCCCATCTTTTCTTCGTTTAAGGCTTTTTTAATTTTTTTTTTGGAGAGGTTTTTGCTATAGGGCGCGTGCACTCACCAGACAGAGACAGAGAGACAGAAAGTGAGAAATCACCCCCGGGGGGGGGGTGGCCACACTGCAGTCCCTTCTCCTCCATTCTCCTCTCAGGATCGTGGGCATGCACGCACACATGCCCGGCGTGAGTTTAAACCACCGGGTCTGGGACTTGAACCACAGTCAGCTACATGGGAGTCCAATGACATAGCCATTACACCACCTGCTAGTTTCGGAACTGTGCTGGATTTTTCATTTTATTTTGGCTCCCCTCTCCTGCCAGAATAGTGATTGTAGCGGTGGGCTCCAGACCTTCACGTTCCTGCCTCTACCCGCTTGTGGGCACCTCGCCTTTTCCCCTCCTCCCCATGCACACACCACAGCCTTGAGCTCCTCGCCACCTTCAGAAGTTTGAGTAAGAGCTTTCCCCGTGGGTCACCTGGGCCAGTCCTCGCCGGATTCCTCCAGACATTGGTGGCCCTCTGGCTTTTCAGCCGGCCATTTCCAGTGTACTCAAGAGCGGCCTAGGTTATTGGGGTGCCCGCGCCCTCCTCGGGATTGCTGGGACACAGCCCAGGCTGCCGCTGATGGCCTAGCTTCCCTCCTCCCCCCTGTTTCAGTTCTTGACGTTCTCACAAAGCGTATCTTGCACATTTCAGAGTACCCTTGACCACCTACTCTGGGGGAGTCCTTTGTACTGTCTAGTCAAGTCCGGGAGTGATATTCAAGCCCTAGGAAATTCTCGATTGGTCCCTCAGGGGTGGGGCGGTGTAGAAGTGGGGTGCGCGTGTGTCTGAATGTTCTCGCCACATTTTCCTCTCCAGGCATCTCTCCTCAGATGGAGGTCACATGCGTGCCCACCCCCACAAGCACAGTGTCCTCCATAGGGAACACAAATGGAGAAGAGGTGGGCCCGTCCGTCTACCTGGAAAGGCTAAAGATCCTCCGGCAGCGATGTGGTCTGGACAACACGAAGGTACTCCCCTGTCCTCCGCAGGGCCGGGGAGGGCGCGGCGGGCCAGGGACTGGCGGCCCTCGGAGAAGCGGCTCGGGCCTGGGTGACGCGTCCGGAGAGGCACCTCCGTGCTGGGCCTGCTCGCGGACGGTGTCTCCTCTTCTCTCAACAGCAAGATGACCGACCGCCGCTGACCTCTTTGCTCTCCAAACCAGCAGTCCCCACGGTCGCCTCCTCCACAGACATGCTGCACAGCAAGCTCTCCCAGCTCCGGGAGTCCCGGGAGCAGCACCAGCACTCGGACCTGGATTCCCACCAGACTCACTCTTCAGGAGCCGTGACCACATCCTCCTCCACAGCCAACATCGACGACTTGAAAAAAAGACTGGAGAGAATAAAGAGTAGTCGCAAATGAAGCTGCCCTCCCCTGCACCCGCAGCTTTAGTCTACTAAACTAGGAGGCCGCGTAGCCCGTGGCCTCGCCGGCCTCGGGGACACGAACTGGCTGTACGCCGCGTGGGCACCGGGGAGCCGCGGTGGCGTCGCTGTGGCACAGGCGTTGTACATACCCGCTCCCGCGAGCCCGCCCGGGAGCCCGCCTGTGGGTTAGTGTAGTGTACAGACTCGGGCCAGCGCCCCTCCTCCCAGCTCAGACTAGGTTCCATCTCCTTTTTCTTTTTTTTTCTTTTCTTTTTAACTGCTCATTTCTAAAATTGTTCTAATCTTTCCTAGCTTTTAACTCTTAGAAACTCTTTCATAGTTTCCCTTTGAGTTTGTGAGCTCTTCTCCCTGTAGCCCTGAAGGGTCACTGTATTCTGTATGAACGCATGGCATGGTGCAACTAATTTAAGAGTCTTTTATAAATAAAGTTTGCATTAACTACACCTGTCTCCCCGGTGCTCCACGTCTGGGAGTCCGGCAGCCCTTCTGTCACCTGGGGGAGCAGAGAAACCCCACCCATCGCTGCTGGGGGCTTTCGCC